TGTTGCTGTAGTTACCTTCAGTGCAGAACAGGCTTCCAGTGTCTCCACTAATACTTTGTGTTTAGAGTGGGAAATAGTTTTCCAGAGGACTTTTCTTAATGCCTATTCCAATTTCAGTTTTAGGCAGTCCTTTGCATTTTATCTCATTGAGAAAGCCTTTGTTACCCTCTTACAGTGCTTTCAGCTGAGCTTTCTGTTTGTTCATTCACTGAGGGCATATTTTCCTTTATAACATTGATCATATTTCTAATAGCTGCTTTTAAGTTCATTTCTGCCATTTCTAGCACGTAGCATCTTCAGGTAGGTTTCCATTTCTTTTGAGTATGGCTCACTTTCTTTTTTCTTTGTATGTCTAGTAATTTTGAGTTGTGTCTTGGGCATAAGAATCACATATTTTAGAGGGGTTTTTTTTGTTTGTTTGTTTGTTTGTATTTTGAGACAGGGTCTCACTCTGTCGCCCAGGTTGGAGTGCAGTGATATGATCCTAACTCAGTGTAGCCTTGACTTCCTGGGCTCAAGCTGTCCTCCCACATCAGTCCCCAAGTAGCTAAGACTACAGATGTGCATCATCATGTCTAGCTAATGTTTTTGTAGAGATGTGATCTTGCTCTGTTGCCCAAGCTGGTGGTCTCAGACTCCTGGGCTCATGCAGTCCTCCTGCCTCAGCTTCCCAGAGTATTGGGATTACAGGTGTGAGCCACTGCGCCTGGCTGAGAGTCTTGATTCTTTTACATTCCTCTGCAAAGTATTGGTGTTTGTTTTAGCAGTTATCTTAACTCACCTCAGACTCCAAACTCTCCCTGCAGCTGAAATACCTGTTTGGTTATTTTGTCCTTAATTCAGCTTTTTGGAGCATGAGTACTTGTGGACTTCAGAAGTCAGTGAAGGATTTGGACAGAGTTTATATACAAACTCTTGGCTCCTTTTTGGTGGCTCCCCCTTCCTGGTATTTTCCCTACACCCTCACTTTCAAATTGCTGTTGTTGTCTCAGGATACGTCCTCTGGTTCTTCAAGACAGTAAGACTGGGTTTCTCTACCAAATCTTAGCTGCGCCACTTGGCCTCAATCAATAAAAGCTTATATTTTAAAACCTATTTTGCCTACAGCTTTGATTTGGGAAACAATAAAAGGACAACTACCTGTACCTGTTTATTTCAGCAATTAGAGAGTATTAACTAGCAGACCTGGGACTCCCATGTTACGTATCTGTCTGAAGTAATCAGAATGTATCTCTGTTTAGGTTTACCCATTTATCTGAGCCCTGGATCTCCTCCTCTTGGGCTTTCTCAGATGCTATTGACCTTATGCTCTTGATTGATTATTTTCTTCTTCTATATCTTCAACTTTATCTTCTTTACTGGCTAGCTCCTTTCTGTCATTTAAAAATACATCTTTCTGAGGCCGGGCGCAGTGGCTCAAGCCTGTAATCCCAGCACTTTGGGAGGCCGAGGCGGGTGGATCACGAGGTCAAGAGATCGAGACCATCCTGGTCAACATGGTGAAACCCCGTCTCTACTAAAACTACAAAAAATTAGCTGGGCATGGTGGTGCGTGCCTGTAATCCCAGCTACTCAGGAGGCTGAGGCAGGAGAATTGCCTGAACCCAGGCTGGAGTGCAATGGCGCGATCTCGGCTCACCGCAACCTCCGCCTCCCGGGTTCAGGCAATTCTCC